GTCCACTGAGGTATGTTTGTAGCTGAAAGGGAAGCTTTCAGCTGTCGATGGAAACGCTCTACCATGCCATTTGCTTGTGGATGGTAGGCTGTCGTTCGGAACCGAGTGCAACCTAAAAGTGCCGTTAGAGCGTGAAATAGTCCACACTCAAATTGGCGCCCACGGTCGGTTGTGACGTAAGATGGACATCCGAAGTTCGCGATCCATCTTTTTACGAAGACACCAGCGACAGTTTCAGCGGTAATATCCTTAGTAGATCCTGCTTCTGACCATCGTGCGAAACGACCCATGCAGGTGAAAAGGTAAGTACATCCATTGATTCTGGAAGAGGTCCTACAATGTCTATATGGACGTGGTCGAAACGCATGTCTGGGGCTAGAAAAGAACCTAAAGGGCTTTTCATGTGTCGTGTGACTTTGCACTTTTAACAAGCTAAGCACGACTGGGTCCACTCCTTAACGTCTTTGTTCACTCCCAGCCAGCAGAAACGTTGTGCCATAAGCCTAATGGTGGCTCGTACACCTGGATGAGAGAGTTTGTGCAACGTATTGAAGACGTTTTGTCGACAACTCTTCGGAACTATTGGGCGTGGTTGACTAGCAGAGACATCGCACAAAAATGTGTCCTTGTCTGATCCAACCGGACAAAGTCGCAGCTTGAGAGTTGTGGACGACAACTCATGATGCAGCTCAAGGTCTTTTTGACGCCGAGCTAGTTCAACGAGATCAACGCCCTCGATATAGTTTATCGAAGCTATTCGTGATAGTGCGTCGGCTGCGGAGTTGTTTGCTCCAGAAATGTGGCGGATGTCTGACGTGAACTGGGAAATGTAATCCAGCTGTCGCGACTCACGCGGGGAGTATTTGTCAGACGCCGAGCTGAGGGAAAACGTTAACGGTTTGTGGTCTGTGAAAATAATGAAATCACGACCTTCCACAGAATGTCGAAAATGGCGTACAGAACAGTACATAGCTAGGAGTTCCCTACCAAATGTACTGTATCTTGTTTCCGCGTCTTGCAGCCGCCTCGAGAAAAAGGCTAACGGTTGCCACTGGTTGTCAGTCAACTGTTGCAAAACTGCTCCAATTGCTGAATCAGATGCATCAACAGCAATACTCAAGGAGCATTGGGGTCATGATGCATAAGCATGGTTGCGTTCGAAATGGCTTCCTTGACTTTCGAGAAAGCAAGTCTAGCCGCGTTGTCCAGAGCCACGAACTTCGTAGTTCCTCGAAGTAGATCTGTGTGTGGTCTCATGACAGAGGCACAGTTAGGGATAAACCTTCGGTAATAACTTACCAGGCCATTGAAAGTGCGGAGATGTTTCACAGTGGTCGGCTCTGGATAGTTTGTGATAGCCGCCACTTTTATCTCTCAATGGGCGTATACCTTTGTTGTCAATGGTATGCCCAAGGAAGCTGAGTGATTCAACTCCTATTTCACACTTCTGTAAGTTGGCTGTGATGCCATGTTTTTCAGTCTGCCGAATACGGGGTCCAAATGTTCGAGGTGGGTTTCGGACTCGCAATTAGACAGTCATCGATGTAGACATGAACAAAATTCAAACCACGGAAGACATCATCCATAAAGCGTTGGAATGTTTGTGCTGCATTCCGAAGGCTAAATGGCATGCGCAGGAATTCAAACAGGCCAAAAGGAGTAATAATGGCTGTTTTCGCGATATCCTTCTGCTGCCATAGGTATCTGGTTGTACGCTTTGACCAAGTCGATTTTGGAGAAAATGTTCATGCCGCATAAGGTTGCAGTCAAGTCGTAAACGTGAGGTATCGGGTAGCAGTCCGGAGTTGTTTTGGCGTTAAGCCTTCGGTAATCACCGGTTGGACGCCAGTCGTTGCTATCCTTTTTGGGAACCATGTGCAATGGCGATGCCCAAGGACTGTTTGACGGTCTGATAATGCCCAGTTCGAGCATGTGGTCGAATTCATTTTTCGCCGTTTTGAGCTTATCGGGGGCTAAACGGCGAGCTTTGGATGCCACAGGTGGACCTGTGGTTGTGACGTGATGCATAACATTGCTGGTTATGCACGGAAGAGTATGCTTCGGTTGTCGTAACTCTGGATATTTCTCCAAAACTGCCTGGTAGGACGCGTCGCCTGATTGTTTGGTTCTAACGATGGCTAAACTCGGACCTACATAGGTGGTGCCGCCAATAGATAACTTTGTGTTGTTATCTATCAGTCGTCGACGGCGAGCATCTACGAGTAGATCGTAATGGTTTAGCAAATCTATGCCAATGATGGGCATAGAGACGTCAACAAGGAGGAAAATCCAGTGGATAGGTTTGCGTAAACCTAAGTTGAGGTAGGCATACTGTCTCCCAAATGTTGCGATTGCCTTGCCGTTAGCTGCTTGAAGATTGAAAAATGGGTCGTGATGACGCTTCCTTGTCGGTGCGGGAAGAACGCTAACTTCTGCGCCGGTGTCGACGAGGTAGTGAACTTTCGTTTTAATGTCGGTGACGTGGAGTAAACCGCTGTTTCCGCCGGCTACGGTTGCCGTGGACACGTGCCGGCGTGACCGTTTCCCAAGTTTGTGTCCTTGTTAAAACTGCGTGGCTTCCGACATTTTCTGGCTTCATCCCCGTAAGTATTATGAAACCAGCACCATTCAGGGTTTTCCGCCCTATTAGGTTTGGTTTTGGGGCTAGTACGCGTTGTGCTGCGGTGCATTAGGGTGCGTTTCCATGGATTTCTACGTGAACTAGGACTTCGAGATCGTAGCAATTGCTTAACAGAGTTGCACAGCTTGGTCACCTCTGAATCCTGGCCCTCTGGTTTATCTCAGGCAGAATATACGTTGGAGACAGGTCTGTCAGAAATCTCCAGCATTTCATCTGCCGAGGCTGTCAGGTCATCGAGTGGGACTGACTTCAGTGTCACTAACACGGTTTGCGCCGGTTGTGGTCGTTTTGAGAGAAATAGTTCTCGGAAAAGGCCATCGTCGAATGTTCGTGCACCCATAACCTCTCGCATGCGTGCGGGGATTTCAGTAGCTGAGTGGCTGCCTAGCTCGATGTTACAAAGCAATTCGTCTAGGCACTAACGACCTGTGAGATCGCTTTTCTTCAGGAGTGCGGCCTTGAGAAGTGCATAAGGATCACTTACTTCAGGATTAAACATGTGTGCTGTAACATACTTGTTTAATTCCCGCGGCAGCGAACGTATGATGGCAAGAAATCGAGAATGGGGATCTGAGACGCCCTGTTCTCGAAAATCTGCCTCGGCATACAGAAACCACGTTTCTTCATTGTCTGGCCAACATGGCACGAGTTGGATCGTGTTCGCAGTCGGCCTAATATGAATGAGCCTGGGAGTGTGGTTGGACATGAGAAAGTGTAGTAAATGGATACATAAGTGTCATGGAAATGAAAACAATATAGAAATATATAATGGAACAGGCCCACCAATTCAATATTTGTTATTGGTCGGGATATGTAATCATGTCGGGCTCACCAATTTAGGATTTGTCCTGGTGCAAACTTGACCGACGCGAAGACCAGTCACTAATTATTCGGACTTGTTATATACCCACGAATACGAGAACAAGGAAGAATACGATAGCGTAGTCGGATGGAATAGTATATTTGGGTGGTTGTGCGAAAATACCGATGCGTTCCAACTAACTGGCTAGAGAGTCGAATACGAGCAGTGCAACGTAACACAGTAGCGTGCCAAATGGCGAGGATGCTTGACCGGGTGCCTTCAGCTTAGTGTGTGCAGCTAACCTATGAAGGTCAGTATCAACGTTGAATCTCGTCAAACCCCAGGCTACTAATTTGGGGAAGTGTGTGACTCTACAAGCTCGTAAAACTGATGCCAGATATTGGATTCTGATGAATACTGACCCTGTAGGTGACCAGAGGTGATGAAATGTGACTCTATATACCTCAGAGTTCCTTATGGGAATCAAGAAACTCCCACCTGTGCTTGTCAAGAAAGTTCTGATTCACAGTTCTGAGCTCTTATGTATCAGGCGAATGTCTATTTTTAGCATCAGGTAAGAAATTGATTACTTTCTTATCCTGGTTTAGACTAAGGAGCTTATGTTACGGATGCCCCCTGGTGAGGCCTAAGTTGTAGATTTATCCAGGAACACTGGTAATCTTTTGGATTGTCAGAGAATATTCACAGCTGAGGCTGATGTTCTTGAGTGTTTCGCATGGCCTAAACCACCCAGCTCAGGGAATGTACCAAGACTGTCATATAAATAAGTTACTATTTTATTCCCACGATATGAATTTGACATGACAGTAGCCAGTTCACAGGCATCGTCAAACTGATAGTTTTTGAAAACTCCACAAGATTTTGGGGGTCCTGAATGGCATAGAAGAAAGGGTATTAAACCTTATTAAAAACGCCAAAAGGTCTTTCTGGTTATGGAACGAATAAGAAAATATTACTTCAGGATATGCAGTGTTAAAGTCTAGATTGTTTTCAGTCATTTTCGTGTGAATCTCAGGCTTTCATGCTCTTGTTGTTCAGACACGTTAGGCTGGAGGCATGGCGGCCGATGCCTTTAATAAAAATATGACTTCGAAAACTTGTCAGTTTCCTGATTACTATTTTGGATTCGTAAACTAAGCCTGAATATGATTGATTTTCTCTTCGCGAAGGTCACACTTAAACATTTCAGATTCTGAAGGATGAAAGGCTTACACTACTGAAGAACTAATGCTGGCGGATGAGATTTTCATCTCCCAAAGTCTGTTGATAAAGCGTGAAGAAGATTGATTGAAGCTACATGGATAATATGGCTTTTATGTTGGTCATTCTCAAAGCAACGGACTCATAAGAAAATTAAGAAACTGTGGGGAATATTTATTTTCAAAATAGTAATAATTAAAAGTGAAATTTCAACTGGATACCAGATATTGTTTGTCGCTGCCATTTGCTTTGTATTTGAAACTTGTATCCCTATTGGTTTTTCAACCTCTCAAGGTTAAGCGCCTGAAACCAAGTGGGAAGACTTAATGGTTTGATATGGCGTAAGCAAAGCTACTGTTTGTTATGCATATCTATAAGTTGTTTTTTTTATGGATTTCGTATTATTACTATTATTTGTTCAAGTACACCAGTCTACTGCACTCTTGATTGCATTAACAATGATGTTCTATTTGTTTTGCCTGCAGAAGGAAAGCAAGATTATTTCACGTACATAAGGGTGAAAACGTAGTGACCTAAAGAAGCGCACACTTTCTCGTCATACTTTCTGTGAATCATGCAGTGTTTTACTCGGTTGAAGTTCCTCCTAAAACACCTATTCTAGTTTTATCAGATGAAGTCTCCAGTTTTTTTAGTAATAGCAGGCCACTTGGCCTGTTTGAATCCTTGCAGAATAAATCCTTGTAAAGATACAGTCTCACTTTAAATGCATTGGCCGAAAGTGGTGATAGTCCTTGCTGCGGTAGGGAGTTCCAGACATTGACTACACGATGAGAGAAATACAGATTCAACCTAATTCGATTCGATTGCGGTTTTTGGGTTTCCTGGTGATGTTCTGAGATAGTCAATCCTGGAAAGAGGGAAAGATAGGGTAGTTGTCCGAACTAATTGAAGGAACTGGCATAGTTGACTCTTAGTAATGCCATAGGTGAGGCGTAATTTGACGGTCCACTTACAGGGTGAATGACTGGAAACGTAGACAACAAGAAACAACTGCTCAACTGGGTTAGGGGTACTCTTCAGTTGTCCATTATTAGATCACGCCCTGCAATGCACATTGAAGTTCATGAAGTGCATGAGGCACAACAGCATACAACAAAAGTGGTACGCAAAGATAGTGACTCATAATCATCAGTTAAAATAAATAAGGCGTTATTTTTTCTTTGGAGTTAGATTCACCAGCTGACCTCCATGTCTGATGGTCCTAATTTGCAAGATGAGTTCAAAGTCGTCTTGTGATAACCACAGAATTATTTACTCGAGTAACATAACCTTTAAGACCCCGGGTTTCTCAATCATTTGACATTCAACTAGAGCTCAAAATAACGTCCAAGAGAACCTTATAGAGTTGAGACCTTACTATGACTATCAGCCAGATCATACTAAACTGAATCCTAGAATAAAAGTACACTGCAGCCTGATTCTTGTTGTATTTCTTGACCTGAAGTCTGCGTTTGATTTCGTCAATCAAGGCGTGTTGTAGATTTTGTCACTGTAAAGAGATCGTTCAGGAAATTTGTCACTTCGTTGAACGGCTTCTGATCAGACACTAAGGTTGTACAGGAGCCTGCAGTGGACTCCCCCTTGGGGGTATGTGTATGAAGCGATGACCAGGTATTTTCACTTTTTCCACTGCTTAATATATTTACGACTTGCTTATTGAGATCCTATTCACTGGTCTGGGCGATAACTAAGTTAAAGTGCTACATTGTCTGCTGAATATCAAATTTTATTGTAACCTAATCCTGCTTTAGCTGAAATCTCACGTAGCAGTAAATTTTGGCTTGCAATATGCAACATCGCTCAACCAATTTTAGTTATAATAGGTTCACAACGTCATGAGCTGGTTTATATCGTCTGCCCAGAACTTTTTGCCTGCCTCCAACACTATCCTCTGTAGTTTCATCATTTAATATCGAAAACATTAGACAAAAGCGAAATGTTGCGTAGTATGCTTGCTTCTGATGGGGAGTCGGACATCTCTACGACGCGTTGTTGTAAGTGACAGGCTAGTGTTTTGAATATGTGCTAAAACTTCGTTGGTAATCATCATAACGGGATTAGTGCAAGTTACAGAAGTTAGTTAAAATAATTCATCCCATATTTTAAGCTAGTTATTGGATTGACAAGTATTATGTAATTTTATATTCAACGTATGCAAAACACACCAGAAGTTCTCAAGTTTCAGTTCGAGATGTTCAGTAAACAATTAAATTCTTTCATAGCTTTCATGTACAAGTAAGTATAATTTCGTTATATAGGTCAACCGAATGCTGTCTCAGCGAATAAGTTCCTGAAAAGTGGGACATAAGCGGAGTAACCCTAGTCAGTATATGTCATAAAGTTGGAAACGAATAGTGACTGCCGAAATCCTCGATGGACACCACTGATTATCCTACCTCAAACACAAACTTTTCGTAAAGATTTACAAGGCTGTATAAGACAGAAAACAGTAGTTAGCGTAGTATACTTGCTTGTTTTTCCTTCCACAATCAAATACTACAAAATCTGTAGATAGCCTTAAAGTGTTGGATTGTTGACAACAGAGGTCAATATTAGAGTGTTTTCGTTTTCCATATCCCAACTGGCATACCAACTATACTGACCACTAATTCTTAACAGATAACTTTTAAAATACTTAAATGCAAACCATTCTATTTCCGCGATGTACCTCCTTTCATACTAGAAATAGGTTAACTTCCGCAAAAGTTTACGAACCAATATACCAGTTAACTTGTGGTTAGATTGTAACAACTGGGTTGATTCTAAAAGTGTTCCGTCTTGAGTTCCTCCGTGATTTAGTCAAAAGCCTGGATTTCTCGGAAATATTCTTTCCAACCATTAGATTTAGCTAGCTGGTCTCACTTATGGGCCTAAATAATTGCTTACTATTACTTAGTGCTGGTGCCTTTACCGTCTCACGTACACCACTCGCCACTGTTCATAGTAACTACGGAGACATGCCCAATTTAAATATAAGCTGTTTCGGTTCCTCATTATGTCCTGGGCTGGTAGGAATGAGTCTTCACTCAGCAACTGATTGCAAGCAGTACATAGATACCATAGCTACTGAAAATTTCTGTTTATATGTTAGTGACTGTTTTTAACCTCTCCAGGGAACCTATTCTTCCCTAAGCAGCTTGAACAGTCATATTTTAACTTTGTCAGTTTTAATCCTTTCACCACTTTCCATGTGGAACCCCGAGGTTACGGAAATTTGACATGGTAGTTGGGCTAGCATATCACAATGACCCAACAAACTATGCTGGTGGAATACTTGTCCCCTCGAGGTCTTATCCTACTGAAAAGGTCCGTCATATAGTGGCAAGGTAAAAGCAGTCACCGTTGTGGTGTAAATTACTACACTACGATGAGGTCTGAGGGCAAAGTCATACTGCTGCTAGGTGTATAGAGTGTGACAGCAGTATAGTGTTTTCCTTACGTAAACAGCAGTGCGACGTTGATACTGTCTTCTCAACGGAATGGGGAGGGCGGGTTACCAAATGGCAAACACCAAAATAATACACCACCTGACACAGTCTTCCGCTACCTGCGGTATGGGTCCCCTCTATCCGACGTTAAAACAACCAGGCCTCAAAACGACATACCGCGACAGGCCACGGATGACAGGCCTCAAGCTTTGCAGTCATGCAAATCATCTTCTCGTTCATGTACCTTAAGAAGAAATAGCCTTCCATGGTGTGGGCAGCCGTGAAGTGTCAACAGCCCCCACGCATACAGGAAATACACAAGACCAAATCAAACATAACCTATTCCCTTAACTCTGTCTCCTTCCTTGGCTTCACCTTCTGACACTAATATTAAGCCTCCTACACCTTCGTCAACTTCTCACCCTGCAACCATAACAAATGACCAAAGCGATCGAAACCTCATCCATCATCGACTTCATGTAGGAGTTTTCAATATCCGAACTCTATGCCAAATTGGACAGCAAGCACCGCTAGCCAAAACTGAAATCGGTAGCCATGGATCTATCTGTGTCTCTGAGACGCACGCGTTTACAGGACCCGAGTGTGGTTATTAGACTGACCTCACCTGGCCATAGTAGTGAATCTTCAAATTTCGACTTAGAAGTATATGGAGACGAAGTGGCTAACTTGTGTGGAGTCGCTGGTTGGTGAATGTTATAGCATTGAGTTGTAGAGCAGAAAGTCTCCTCCTTGACTGGATACCATTCAACAACCGTCTGTGTGCTGTTCGATTGAACGGATCTGCAAAAAGTAGGAAGGATCGCAAGACTATTTATCATTTATTTGTCTCTTGGGTTCCTAGTGAAACATAGAGCTTCAGTAGAACGTCGCAATTTGACTCTGTTCTCTGCAGTCTTTTGAACCTCGCTCCACGACTGCCCACAACCTTCCATTTCTTCCTCACACGATCTTCTCCATGTCACCCGTGGCTTGAACGTCCAACTTGTCGTTTCCCTTTTGGATCCCACTCGAGGGCCTGACCTGGCGAGTGACGTCCCCGGAGGGTCATTTCAGTGTATGTCCAATCCAATCCATGTCTACTTTCTTCCGCATATTTGTTGGGCGATGGGGTTGTTAGTTGGTTCGTTACCCGGCCAGAGTTCCTTGTTGCTTATCCTCATTATTCTGGCTACCTGATCTTCAGTGTCGAGTGAGCGTAGACGACAGCTGTTGATGTATGTTTGCAGTTTGTTGGAAGTGCTTTTTGTAATGCGCCAAGTCTCTCAACCATCATATAGAAACACTGACTTACTTGGCTGAATTAGTGTTGAAAATCCAGATGTTGTTCACGCTTTATGCTGAGTGGAGTGGAGCAGATCTCCACACTGATTTCAGAGTGATGAAGGCCTGTCTTGCTTTCAGATCGTGGCTTTGACATCTTCATCCGTGCCGCCGCCTGTAGTTGAGATGACGCTGCGTTTATATTTCTCCCGTTAATGGTGATTGGTGCTTGTTGTTGATGCTGTTTTTGGTTGGGTATCTTCATCACCTCTGTCTTCTCTACGTTCACCTGAGGTCCCGTCTTCCTAAGCTGCCTCACTCTCCTAACATCTTGTTAGTTTTCGCCTGTAGATCTTCGAGTTTGTGCGGCAAGATATTAGTCATAAATCGTCATCGCCGAAATCCAAATCTTCTAGAGTCTCGTCATCGATCCAGCCAGCGTATACCCATCTTCTCACAGCTACTCACAGTTGTTTGTTGCATGATTCAGTCCAGACCAGACCAGTCCAGTCCAGTTGACCACAATTAGGAGGATCATGGTTGATAGTAGGCGGCAGCCTCGTCGTACTCCTGTCTTCATTTCAAACGCATTACTGAGCTTCCCATTGCTG